TCCCGTCACCTGTATTGTCTCCGACGGATCCATGAGCTTCACCGTTGTAGCTGCTGAAGAACTGGGCCTCCCCATTGTGCTATTTTGGACTCCGAGCGCTTGTGGCTTCATGGCTTATCTTCACTACCGTCAACTCATTCAAAAGGGCCTTACTCCTCTCAAAGGCTAGTTGACTGGACTTTCCCTCTCATTCTCTCTCTCTCTCTCTCTCTCTCTACATATACATATACATATAATATTAGGAGTTGGGTTTTAATATTAGCGCTGTTCCTTTCGTTTGCAGATGAGAGTTACTTGACAAATGGATACCTGGACACTGTTATAGATTGGATACCTGGCATGAAGGGTATCCGATTGAAAGACCTGCCAAGCTTTCTCAGGACTACTGATCGAAATTTCGTCATGCTAGATTATATTTTGGGTGAGACAGAGAGAGCTAAAAGGGCCTCTGCAATTGTGTTGAACACGTTTGATGCACTGGAGCACGATGTTTTGACCGCAATGGTTCCAATGCTTCCTCCTGTTTTTCCCGTAGGCCCTTTGCACCTTCGAGTGAACCATCTTGCAAACGATGAAACAAAGCAGATAGGGTTAAGTTTATGGAAGGAAGAGCACGAGTGTCTTTCATGGCTAGACTCAAAAGAACCAAACTCAGTTGTTTATGCAAATTTTGGAAGCATAACTGTCATGACAGCCAACCAACTGGTTGAGTTCGCTTGGGGGCTGGCGAGCAGCAACCAGAAATTCTTGTGGGTGATCAGACTTGATCTTGTATCCGGCGAGTCAGCAATCTTGCCGCAGGAGTTCATGGAAGAGACCAAGGAGAGAGGTCTACTGATTAACTGGTGCCCACAAGAACAAGTTTTAAGCCACCCATCAATCGGCGGATTCTTGACACATAGCGGGTGGAATTCGACCATTGAGAGTATCAGTGCGGGCGTGCCGATGCTCTGTTGGCCGTTCTTTGCAGAGCAGCAGACAAATTGCAAATACAGTTGCCAGGAATGGGGTATAGGGATGGAGATTAACAGTGATGTTAAAAGAGATGAAGTTGGGAGGCTTGTTCGAGAGCTAATGGAAGGCGACAAAGGGAAAGAAATGAAGAAGAAAGCCATTGAGTGGAGGAGAATGGCGGAGGACGCCACTCGGGGTCCCAGTGGATCCTCATATCTAAACTTTAATGCACTAATTGACAAAATATGTCTGATCGAATGAGTAGACAAGTGTAGAGGGGAAGATTAAAGTAAAAGTATGGTAGAAATAGAAAGCAGTTATCATA